TGAAGTAGACAAAAATATTTGGAAAACTGTAGCATCCAAAGTAGACAAATGCCTTCAGTTTCAGTTTTATTAAAACACTGTGAGAATTTCAACATGAGGTGGCCACATATTTGAAAATTCTCTACACTGAATATGTGGACAAATTGGCCAGGCACAGAGGCTCACACCTGTAATCCCAGAGGTTTGGGAGGCCAAGGTGAGAAGATCACTTGAGGCCAGGAGCTGGAAACCAGCCTGGACAACTTAGCAAGACCCGTCTCTACAAAAAATTTAAAAATTAGCTGGGCATGGTGGCCCACCCTTGTAGTCCCAACTACTGTGTAGGCTGAGGCAGGAGGATCATTTGAGCCCAGGAGTTAGAGGTTACAGTGAGCAACCATGACACTGCAGTGTAGTCTGGGCGATAGAGCGATACATTGTCTCTTAAAAAAAATTAATTAAGCAAATAAATCCTTTTTAAAAAACATTTAAGATAAGCCAAATACTTCTTAAAGCCGAATTTGGGTTTTCGACCTTCACTATGCAATTTCTGATCTTTGTTTCTTTTTATATTCTTGTTCTCAGTGGGACTTTCTTTGGTTATTTAACCATATTCTTCATATTGACAGTAAGGAACTGTCATTTTTTTAAATGATCTTTTACAAGTTGCCAAAATATTTCATCTACCAAGTAAAAAGATTCTAGCTTGCATAAGAAGAAAGAAGAGAGAGAGAGAGGAAGGAAGTAAGAGAGAAAAAAGTAGCACATATGCTTACTATTAATGTTAATACTTAGTGAAACTTCTTGACATGTCAGATGGGTAAGACCTGAAGCTCTAAATGAATTTTCAAAGAAGAGCTCAAAGAAGGTATAGAGGCAGTTTCAAGTGACATACAGTAACAGTATGTGGATGGACATATGGAAACTACAAAGTCACCTCTTCATAACTTACACATCAAGAAACCATAGATCAAGTTGCACCTTTTTTTTAGACTCTTTCTCATCTACTGCTCCAAATACCTCATGAAGCATCATCTCATAAGAAGTCACCTCACACTTCAAATGAAACACATCTCCACAACTAGCTTTCAAGTCTCTTTGCAAGATACTTTGGGGGGACAAGAATTATAAAAATTATTTAAGGCCGGGCGCGGTGGCTCA